AAGATACTTACTTACAAGGTTAAGGGATGTAGCTTATTGGTAGAGCATTTGCCTAGTACACACAAGGCCATGGGTTCAATCTTAGCATTGCAAAGTTTCCAAGATGAAATGGCCCACACCATAAACTCAGGACTATGAATGAAAGAAAACCTTCCCACACAACAACACATACACACATACACACACAAAAAAAAGAAAAAAACTACCAGTGTAAAATTTAAAAGCACTGGAAACAAAATCTTTAGTTTTCATAGACTTTAAAAATGAAAAGAAAAGGAAGAATGAAAAGAGAAGGAAAAACAAATACAAATCAAACACAATATGAAAAATCAAATGGTTTAGAATTCTCAAAAGCAGTATGGATGCTAGGAAAAAATGTCAAAAAGCTGGAAGGGAACACAATTTTTCCAACCTGGTATTCTTTTCCTAATCAAAGACTCAAACAAGTACTGGGGTAAAGTAATGCCATTTAAAAACAGCTAGTAAATCAAAAACAAGGCTAACATTAGTCACTGAAAAACAGAGATGTAACAGTGGAGAGAGTGAAAGGACTCCAAGGGTAACGGCTGAGTACCAGGCCTTGAAAGCAATCAGTCCAGAATGGAAGCCAGAGGGATATGAGAAAGGCTTCCTCAGAAAGGTAAAAAAGAAATGTGGGGCATGGTGGGGACAATAAACTCTAGTCACATCATGCTAGGGTATACATCAACAGTGAAATCTTCAATCAGCTCTTTAAGTCCTCTTGCACTTAAGTGCAAGCACACAACCAAGAATCACCAGATAGCTAAGGAAGGAGTCTATCATAGCGTAGACCAAAACACACAAAAGTTGGAGGACAGAGAAGCAACTTGAAGAAAAGAGACTGTGCTAAATGAATACTGGAGAGAGGGATCCACCCTTTCTATATGCCAAATAGCTGGGGATGGGGGTGGGGGCAAGAAGGCAACCACAGCCACTGTCCTGTGCTGTGGACAGAAAAAGTATCTTTTACAAGCTAAGGAAAGATCAGTAGTGATACAATCATAACTACTAGGAAAAAGGGAAACTGGGAAGAAGGGTGACCAACTAGACAGATCCATTTCCTAGCCAAGAAATTCAAAAATACAATCAAAAACAAAATAAGGAGTGTTTTACTTAAGATTTAGAAGCATAATGAATTTACATTCTGAGAGTTTTCTAAATTCACTTAGTTCACACAACAGTCTTAGCAGACATGCTATAGCCTTCATTGTTTTAAATCAGGAAAATGAGGAACAGCTTTTGGAATATCCCAAAATTACATAAAATCAGCAGAGGAAAGAAGATAAGTCTAAGCAGCCTAACTTCAGCCCATGTTCCTAACTACCACATTACATTGCATGCTTAAGATCAGAAGGTAGTAACACAGTAATCACCTAAAGAAGTAAAGGGAAATCTAGGAAGGGAAATCTGGGAAGGAAGAGATTCTTTAAACTATACATGTATATCTTAAATTAAAAAAATAAAATTTTTTGAAGTATTTGATATTTTGCAGTATCTTAACTGATAATAACTAGCATCCTCCACAGATAAGCAAAATAAGTACTACTTTTTTTTAATAAAACAATGGCTCACACAAAGTCCTTGTTATACAAGCATGAGAACCTGGGTTTGGATCCCCAGCCCCCACATAAAAGCCAGATGCTTATAATCCCAGCACTGGGGAGGTGGAGACAGTGGATCCCTGGCACTCTCTAGCCTGCCAGCCCAGCTGGCTCACAGAGCTCCAGGTTCAGTGAGACCCCATCTCAAAAACTAAGATGGACGATGACTAAGTATGATACTTGGGAAGTCCACCTCTGGCCTGCACATGCACATGCTCATATATTATGTGTACATACATACAACACACAAAAATAAACGTTGAAAAAAAACAAAACACTCATTCCTCTATAATATTTGAAGAGTTACTATAAAACAGACTGGATTTAGGAGACTCGCATCAATTCACCATAAGGAACAAGAACGGAGCTGGCAAGTCATCTTATTCATTTCTTTTCAATTCATTAAATTATAGTGCCTGCCATGTCTAACAGTTGTGGTAAAGGTGACAGATTTTGTCATCTTTGTCATGACCGGAAGAGCAGACAAAGGTCTGCTCATTAATTTGTTCAAAAAATATTTAGTCTCTGCCCTTGAGGAACACTTATTCTTGTGGGAAAGACTGGTAAACACAATTATAATCAATACGTATATAGAGTACTTAAGTAGAGAAACAGTAAAAAGTGCTAAGAAACATCCTCAGGGAAAAGCAATCTTTTAGAGGGAACACCTGAGCTTTGCCTTAAAGAACAAAGAGAAGCTGAACAGAAGAAGTTCATGTAAGACTGTGTAAACCATCACAAAACATAGTAAAATTACTAGACCTTCCCATTCTTGTAAAGGTTAAGTTCACATTAAAGGCCAAGACATCAGAATTTTTATGAGTAATCTTTAAAAAGTTACATAATCTTGATGCCTTGATCCATCTTTATAATCTTTAGTCTCTAATTTTTAGAGTAGACAAGTGTCCAAAGAAAGCACTTTCCACATGTCTAAAATGCATTTTAAAATCTAAAGTGTCAGAGTATTAACAGGATATGATACAAGAATAATCACTGTCGCTTCTTTAACCACCAAAAATTTATATATTAACAGACTTCCTATGTCATAAAATGAAATGACAGCCTTTCTCCCAAAGCAGAGTAATGATGCCAAGGCCTGGAAGCCGCACGTGACAAAGACTATGGTGAGAAGACAGGCAACAGTCAGAGTTCTGAAGGTTTTCAGCACGTTTTTTCTCTTGTTGATATTTTCAAATCCTCTTCCAAGGACAAATCTAAATGGAACATTTATTTTTCCAAACTATAGTGAGATAAAAACACTCTACAGTAAAACACAACTTTAAAGGTCCTTGCTGATGTTACAGGTACCTTAGTGATGAAACATTTTGATTTTACTTAAAGCAAACAAAAATTCTCTAGTTTGATGACTCAATTTTGATGTCAATTATGAAGGTTCAAACCGTCGTTTCTAGTAAACTAAGCTCAAGTACAGTCTGAAGACAACTTGTGTTACTGCAGACACATATTCCACCAATTTCTTCTTTTCCCTAGAACTCCAAATGCTTCTCCATAATTTGCCTCAAATTCATCTTTATCGCATTTACAATCTGGAAAATGACTTTGCACTATCTCAAAGTGGGACTCTATCCCTGCAGGTAAAACTAGTTCCAAGTAGCACCCTCTGACATGAACTGTGGGAACAGTAAGTTTTGGAAAGCCCTACCATGCTCCCTACCACATGAGGAAAACAAAAGAAAGTCATTCCATGAGTCCACAAACAGTAATTAAGAAAACCATGGCAGCTTTGTAATCAGTGTGTGGGTTTTCTTTCTGTCACCTGTCTTTCTCTAAATTTAGCATCTGTATTATATACCTGTTTTAATGGGAATGCCACTCAGATCATACCCTTTTGGTTTAGGAAGCAAAAATTAGACTAAATTCTTTAAAATTACAGATGATGATCCAGAATAATAACGATTAACGTTAAAAGTTGAACAATAATTGTAACTGGACTATTACAGAAACTACCCCCTACAAATCTTTTTAAAGTATATTTCTGAACAAGAATATGGAATACATTTAATTAGTAACAAGGTTTTAAGTATGACTATTAGAAAAAAAAAAAACCTTGAAAGAACATTTAAACCTGTTTCAATTACCATAACATTACCTTTTAACTTTTAAACAACTTACAAAAACCAATGAAGACTTGACTGAAACATTTGGCTTTTGTTTTCTTTTTACAAAATTATTTTGCAACGTGCTCAGTTCTTCCAAAGCAAAATCCACACACATACATATAGAATATAAATGTTTCAACTGGTTTAGTGAAGGTTCAATATCAAAAATCTCCAACTAATACTAAAAAATTAAATATCTTATATGCGCTCTCAAAATTCCACAGTAAGAACGAGTAGTCTTTTCACAACTACCATACTTTGACCAAGGTTAGTAAAGACTGGCAAATTTATAAAAAGAAAATTCCTTTAAAATAAAATCAACTAGCTCTTAAAGCAATGTAGAAGATATGAAAGATGTCACAACTTTTCTAGCCAGTCTTATTCAATAAGTATGATTAGTATATTATTTCCAATATAACTGAAAAATAATGCTGGCTTAATAATGTATTTTAGGCTTTATGTGTTTGGGTAAGGGAAGGAACAGGTGAAACAGATTAGCAGAAAGTCTGATTCTCAGGCCTGTATAAAATCAGCTCTCTAAGACTGACTTTACTCTTTAAAATGGCTACCACCTTCATCTACTATGCAAAAGAAAAAATGTGTAGCACACTACTATCAAAGATAAATCTAGGTATTTTGACAGTGTATTTGAGTTCCTCCCTCAAAAAATTTCCTTTTAAAACTAGCATCTCTTTTCTATTCAGATCAAGTGATCATTAAGTTTACAAGAGCTGGTTATTTACAGTATGAGGGCAACCTATATAAGCCAGATTAGGTCATCTTTCCTTCAGTGTCTGGCTAGGAAAAGCAGGTAACAGTATCTTCCACAACCTAAGATCAAATATACTAGAAGAGAAAAAGGGTTGTCTAGTAAGGAGATCGAATGTAGGAACCACAACCCCACAACAAGAAATGATCATAAAGACTTAGCAGTTCAAAAGAATGGATTATTATGTGGGGTAGCAAAATTTAAGCTTCTTTTCCTAACTAATCTTCTCAGAAGTATTATATAAATTAAAAAACCACCCTGCACCCCCAACCTATTTTGAACAGAAACCTATGGTTGATAACTATTCTGAAAATTATCTACGTAGCTTACACGACTTCCTACCCATTCTGGAATCATTCTCTAACACTCAAGTGCTGGAAGACTTACCACGAACACGCATCTTTCACATATGAAAATGAAAATACATAATGCTTTACGTTTTTAGGCATATATACTATTGAATGTCCACAAAACACAGCATTATCTTACCTCTCATCCTCGCCATCCACCAGGGGTGTCGTCAGCGGTAGCACCTTCAACGGGAAAAGAGCAGAGGCCGCTAGGCTGCTGCTCCCATCTGAAACTGCTGACATTCCCCCACTGTCACCACTGATAGTCTGAGGTAAACCGACTAGGGAAGGCTCTGCTGGGCGCCGGGCGTCTTCAATTTGGCTTCCGATGGCCTGAGCTAATGATTGTGCAGAGAACTGAGCAGAACTTAGTGGTATCTGTTGTGCCAAAGGCAAATTTATGTTAGTTGCTATCAAGGGAGACTGACTAACACTTGGAACCAAATTCCCATTCTGGGTGGCAGGGGGTTGTGCTATATTCTGTGGTGGAACTAAGTTTGTTGGGGCAGAAGGCATTCCAGGAGGACCAGCTGAACTAACCTGATTTGTAACAGAAATACTACTAGCGGAGGGCAAAGGACTGACTGCAGGGAACGGCTGGGAAACAGCTCCTGGAGCTACTGGCTCCACCGCCTGAGGCTGGGGAGGCGCCGACAACAAGGTATTCTGGGGTGCGAGAACCAACTGTGGAGGAAGGCTGGGAGCACTAGTCTGAACTCCCGGATGGAGAAGCCCAGTTTGAGCAGGTGGAACTACTTGTGACAACGGAGGAGCACCTTGCTGAACAACCGAAGGTGGAACCTGGGGAGAGGGCTGCTGTACTGCAGTAGACAGGGTTGCTTGTTGACCAATACTGGTGATCTGACTGCCAATGGGAACAGCAGACACTGCTGTTTGAGCCTGGCCAACCGGCTGCCCAGAGGCCCCTGCAGGTTGTGCTTGTGCTGCTGTGGGTTGCACTGGCATCTGGATGCCCTGTGGATGAGCCACAGGAATCACTGCTGTTCCTGTTCCCATTCCTGCAGAACTGGACTGTCCAGAGGACATCACTGCTTGAAGAATTGGCTGCTGTGGTGCATACTCAGGAGGAGGATTCGGAGTCACTGACTGACCGTGGCCTGGGGCTATCTGTGTAGAAACCAATGGTTGCTGTGGTCCATATTTTAACTGTTGGGGTGGTGGCCCTGGAAGAGCGGTCTGCACTGGAAGAGCGGTCTGCACTGGAGGAGCTGTCTGAGAATATGGCAGTTGGGGCTGAGCCAGGCTGGAAATGGAAGGCTGCTGACCTCCAGCTGCTGTGACACCTACCACGCTGACAGGTGAGGGCTGGATACCAGTAGCCGCATTCAGAGTGGCTTGCAGAGGGACTGCTTGAAGACCTTGCTTCTGCTGATAGCTCAGCTCTTGAGACTGTAATTGGACTTGTGACATATGGGGCTGAGAAATACTCTGTGGTATACTAACTGCCGAAATACTCTGTGGACCAGGGCTACTAAAATCTATCTGTTGGAGGGCCACACCTTGAAGAGCTGGTGGCTGCTGCTGCTGCTGCACAGTAGGGGCGCCCATCTCCCCACTTCCTACACTCTCTGTGTAGTGACTCAGTGTGCTGACACTACTGCTCACTGAACTCCCACTAGTGCTCTCTCTCTCTGAAGACACTTCCGTGGGGTTCTGTTTCACAGTCTCCACCACTTTATTCATTGCTACACCTTCTGCGGCTGGCACTGCGTTTTCTTTTTCATAGAACTCAGTGCAAGTCCATCTACCTTTTTTAAAGGGTTCAGAAGTAGAGTCTAACTTCACAACTCTGAACCTGGAGGTGTTAACTGTTGGCTGTTGCTGCTGTTGACTTGAAACCACTCCCACAGTCATACCTGCAGCTGCATGAGGGACACTGTTAGCAAGAGAGGATGAAACAGTACCATTGCCCATGCCACTCAAGATATTCATATTAACACCACTGGGCACACCAGGCCCAACACTTCCACCAGCAGCACTAGGAATACTGCCTGTACTTAGAGTGGCATTACCAAGCATGCTGCTTGTCACATTAGGGCCGAAGCCACCCACAGCAGCAACGTTAACATTATTCGTTGGATTAGGCCCAGTAACAGAATTTATACTTATGCTGCCTGTAGTACTCGGAGCACGGATGTTAGTCATCACAGATGCAGGTGAGCCACTCGATGAGACAGCAGAAGTCGGTGCAACTGGCACACCACCATCAGAACTTCCAGTTGTGGAGAGTTTTCTGGACCCTGGGCTCGAGGGTGGCCCTCCCGGAATGGATACACCGCTCACAGCAGCATGGGATGGATGGTGGTGCCCGTGGTGAAGGTGGTGCCCATGATGAATGTGATGGTGGTGATGGAGGTGGTGGGGATGAGCATTCCCATTGATCACAACGTTTTGTTGTGGAAGGTGAGGCAGATGAGACTGAGGAAGGTGGGGCTGGTTGGGAGAGACTGCCCCAGGTGTCTCTGCTTCCTGGAAGTTATTCAGAGTCTCCTCCGAGGAGCTGCGTTCAGGCTCACCTAAGTCAGTAGCCCTGGAAAGTGAAACATCAAGGATCTCGGAAGAAGAGAGATCTTCCGTGTGAGATTCATCTAGATCGTCGTAGCTCTCCGTGTCCTCTGCTATGCTGTTGTTCGAGCTGATGCTGGCAGAGATCTGGGCCGGAGTAACGCTCGTTATCTGGAAGCCACTTTTCTTTTTCATCTGAGTTCCGCCTGGCGCGAGAGGCTGTGCCTGCAGCTGAGCCTGCGAGAGGAGGTTCAGGCTTTGTGGAGGCGGAGGCTGTGGTCCCGACATGGAAGATGCTGCAGGAGGCGGCGGCTGGAGCAGCGACGGAGGCAAAATTTCCTCCGAAGATGGAGCAGCACTACCGACGCCGGTACCTGCTGCATTGAGAGCAGAGGCGCTGCCACTGGCACTGCCCCTTCGAGGGAACATTGCCGGGTGCGCCATCTTCCTAGCACTAATGTCTGCAGCAGCAGCCGCCGCGGCGGTGGACTCGGGCGGCTGGTGCATTGTGTTGGGTACCGGGGGGCGGAGGAGGCGAGTGCAATTTCCTTCTGCACCGTAATCTTTGTATGGAGAAGCCAGAGAGGAAAACGGGACCTGACGCTCCGCCCGACGCGATTCCTCCTCCTCTTCCTCCTCCTCCACCTCCTCCTCCTGCTCAGCCGAAGGCGCCGACCGCTCCTGCCTTCGAGGGCTAGCTTCGGGAAGGAAGGATGAACCCGGGTGAACCAGGCGGCCGGGGAGCCAAAGGGGAGACCCCTTCAGTCCTTCGCCATTCACTTTCCCCTCCGGTCACACACCCCCCTTTATATTCCGCTTCACGTGGGGTGCGGGGCGGGAGGGAAGGAGGGGAGCCCAGGAGGGGGCGGGGGTGGGGTAGAGAGGAAAAGCGAGAAATGCCCACCTTCTTTGGCCAACTCCAGAGCCAGCTCAGCCCCCTCCTCCCGCGGCTCGCCCTGCACC